AGAGAGAGAGAGAGAGAGAGAGAGAGAGAGAGAGAGAGAGAGAGAGAGAGAGAGAGAGAGAGAGAGAGAGATTGACGACACTTGGGATTCAGACTCGACATTGGGACAAAGACGTTGGGGGGACCACTTGGGATTGATATCAGCGATATTCTAGTTGACGATATTCTTATCTCTTCCCCCTTCTCCTTCGTCTCTTACCCCTCCTCCTCATTTGTGTATGAGTTAGGCCTGGCACCTTCGTCCTGTGTGCGGCGCCAGGCCATTCACACCATGTGATGATGATGTTGATGTATGTCCAGTCTGCATCTCGACATTGGTTGGGTCTGATCATTTGTATTCTAGCCTTCCGCTGTGCTATCCTGCTCTATCTGTGAGAGGTCGGTTCTTGGTTCTGGTCTGTACCATCTTGGTATGCGACAGTACAACTGACGACAGGAGGCAGACATGTCGGGATATGCAACGACAGAAGGTTCCGGGTCAAAGGAAGGGCCCGACATTTGCAGACAGCTAGGGAGGCAGCGACAATTGCGGAGCGTGCGTTAGCAGAAGCAGCAGCTAGGGCTGACGTGATGGCCAATTCTGGTGCAACCTTTCAAAGTCAGCAAACGTCATGAACTTTTTTGATGTCCATGGTCTCATCCAGGGGGATGAGTTCAGGATCATCCTCTAGTCAGATGGTAGACTCGCAGTACAGCCAGCCACCTCCGCCCAATAGAGAAGAGATAGAGTTTCAACAAGTTGAGTTACTCTGCACACAGCTAGAGAAGCAACTCAGGGATGCTACTGCAAAAGAAAGCCAGAATGGAGTGCAAAGAGGCACTCTGTAGTTGATGATGCAGGAAAAGTCATCAAGGTGAGTATGTTGAATATGCAACCGTATATGGACAGTAGACTGGATGACATCTAGTCATTAACTAGATTCTGGATGTCGTGCAGAGGAAGGGAAGGCCAGTACCTTTCACAATGGGCGGGCGCAGTTTCAGGCCACTTGCAGGTTATCCATCGTCGCCACAGTTTCTGGTGATGACAAACCACTTTGTTCCTCAGTTTGGTCTCCCACCAAGTGGTGCGTCAGCAGCAGCAACACAAACTGCTGCTTCTTCGGAGACCCCTATCAAACCTCCTCAAACCTTCCTCGGAGATAAGAAGGATGAGGCACTCGACACCTGGTTGAGGATGGTTCCAGTGTGGGTAAGGGCCAAGAGAACCCTGCGTGAGGAAGAGGTGATCACTACCGCCTCATATCTGGAGGGTTTGGCAGCGAGATAGGATTCGACAGACGAATGAACGACTGGGCGCAAACCCACATATTAGAGAGTTTTATGGAGTAGAGACGCGTTGGCACAACCCTTTGCAGGCACAACAGGCCACTGATGCGTTGCCCCAACTTGATACTAAAAAGTACAAATCCGTGCGAGAGCTCACCAGCGCTGTAGACAAGCTCATCATCGTCGTTGGTGTACACTATGATCCACGGGTCCTGCTGATCATGTTCTTGAGATGTCTTCCCACAAATGTCAAGAACTTGATGGTTAGTGAGGCCAACATCGATTTTCACACTCTTGACTCCTTCAGAAGGCCTTAGATTTAGCGGCTAAGCTAGGAGGAGCGCATCAACTTGTGACAAACGATAGGAGGAAGAAGATTTCTTAAGCGTGGAAGAAGAAGGGAAATAGATTGATGATGATTGAATCTGAGGGAAATCAAACTGAGATCGACAATATTTTTGATCTTGCGGAGGATACAAAGTTAGGCAGCGAGGAGAGTCTAGAGGGAGGAAACCTCGCTGCAGCATCCACCAAAGGTAAGGCTGCTGGTTGTGGCAAGGGCGACGAGCAAAAGAGTCGGGGGAAGGCTCAAAACTCACAAAAGACTCTGGCTTAGATAAAGATGTGTGGAGGGACCGATATACGCGGGTGCTTGCGTTAACTGCGGCCAGTACGACCATCAACAGTTCAAATGCAGAAATGCAAAAGTTCCTCAGAAGATCCTGCTTATAGGAGGTGTGGCCGGATCTTCCGCCATGGGTGGTGCTTCTACGAGCATATCCCAGAGAAACGCATCTGGCTGTAGAGGTCGTAGCTGCCTCTACTCTTGCTGAAGTGGAAGATGTACCCTCTCCACTTCAAGACTTGGTCGAGGCTATTGACTCGCTTCTCACCCCGCAGGCACATCCTGACCATTAGATTTGTCCAATGCCTTATAGGATTGAGAGACGGAGTGGTCAGCAAAAGATCCTCGTGAGTCTTGGGTTGCGTGGACTGAAGTCCTAGAGAGGAGCATTTCGTTGTGGAGGTAGGTGTACGTGGCTGCAAGTGTGGTGCCTTCGTAGACATTGGCTCCAAGCGAAACTTCACAAGTCGCGACTGCGTTGAGAGATTGCGCCTAGGGGATCGGGTGCAACGCTTGGATAGGTCTATATAGCATCTACTCTAGTCAACAAAGAGCGTATGGTTGTGAGTTACTAATCATAGGATTTCGTTTTTGGTCTGTGATGACTTGCCGGTCGACATCTTGTTGGGTATGTACTACCTCGAGGTTGCCAAGCCCCAGTTTGACTGGGACAGAAAGGTGCTCAAGCATGTGTTGCGAGAGGACCGTTAGGCTAGCTAAGTACAGGGTTGGTAGGTTAGTTGACTCCTATGGTTGTATGTGCGCATCAACGTTTTATAATTATTATAAACAGAACCGAGAAAATAGTATGTACTTGGTCTTTGTCTTTGAGAAATGGGAGGCCGTTAAATCACCCCAGAGATTGAAGCCGTCTTCGCTAAGTACCCTGATATGTTCGAGGAGCCTTCAGGAGTCGTAAACATCCGTAGAAATCATCCCGAGTAGTAAAACGCCAAAGAGGAGGATCTATAAGATGGCTCCGACCGAGTTGGACGAGCTTCATCGGTAACTGAAAGAGCTCACAAAGAAGGGATGTATACGGCCTAGCACATCACCCTTCGGGTGACTAGTCTTATTCTTTCTGAAGAAAGGGGGATCATTAAGAATGTGCATTGATTACAAAGGCCTCAATGCCATCATTGTGAAGAACGTTGAGCCTCTACCCCGCATTGACGACCTCTTGGGTAGGGCATAGGGATGTAAGTACTTTATTAAGATAAACCTTAAATCCGGCTATCATCTGATTGCCATTAGACCGGAGGATCAACACAAAACCGCTTTCCAAACCAGGTACGGTCTGCACGAGTTTGTGGTGATGCCTTTTGGCCTATGCAATGCGTTGGGTAAATTCCAACACGCCATGAATAGGGTATTCCATGATTATTCGGATAAGTTTATTGTTGTGTACCTCAACGATATTCTTATCTTCAGTAAGACTATCAAGGAGCACGAAAAACACTTAGACCTTATGCTTGGGCTCCTAAGGCAACACAAGTATAAGATTAACTTGGAGAAATGCGATGGTCGTAACAAAGTCTTGTACTTGGGTCATGAGCTATCTGCAAATGGAGTTCGGCTCGAAGGTGCGAAGGTGGCTACAATCTTCCCCCGAAGGAAACACACCTATGTACTATTCAACTTTCCCCGGAAAAGTCGATTTCTCGAAGTCGCTCCCCCAAATCGAAATATGTTCAAATAGTACATACGTATATGCTATTCGAATAGTACTCACGTATGTTCTACTTGAATAAACAAGTGTTCTATTAAAATAAAACATACCACCGGTAAGTCTCTTGCCGTGCTTTCCTTTTTTTTCGTTGCCTACTCCTCTTCGCTCGTTACCTCCCGTGTCTCTTCCCGTATCGGACCGCAATTGTGGTCCAAGAAAATGAAATGCCGCGCTCGTTTCAAAAGCACACGCCTTGCAGTGCTCCGCCCACTCTCTCTCTCACACACACACACATACACATATACACACACACATGCACACACACACACACACACACACACTGAGGCGTGTTGCCAACTTGCAGTGCCATGCTCGTTTTAAAGTGCTCCCCCTTGACTCACCTTCAAAGGTAAGGGCATATACTTGATTTTTTTGGGCGGGCGGTTTTCAAAACTTGATGCCCAATATCCGTAGCATAACGCCCGTGCGATGTATAAGAATACATCGCACCCGTGCGTTCTCTTCACATAGAACGCACATGTGTTTTGTTCGCGGAAAGACTGTAGCATTCACGACTAGCCACGACCTCAGTCTGTGACAGAGGTCAGATTTTTCTTGGGGATGACAAGCTATTACCACAACTTTGTGAAGAACTATAATACAATAGCTACCCCGTTGATTGACTCAACACGCCTTGACGCACCATGGGAATGGACTAACGAATGTGAGGGAGCCTTCAAACGTTTGAAGTATGCTCTCACACATCATAAGATTCTCTTGCTTCCTAATCCCGATAAGCCATTAATCGTGACCACTGGTGCAAGCCAAGATGGCAATGGCGTAGTGCTGGCTCAGCAGGAAGGGAAAAAGCTAAAGGCCAATCGAGTACATGAGTAAGAAGATGCCATCAATGATGGCGGAATCCACCTACGAAAGGGAACTCTACGCCCTTTACGAACGTCTTGTCCACTGGAGAAGTTATTTGTTGGGGAGGTTATTCTATCTGAGGACCAACTATAAGCGGATCAAGACGCAACTTGTTCTTTCTGACACACTCAAACGTTGGATTGAAGTCTTTGATCAATACGACTTCAAGCTAGACTATGTGAAGGCAGAGTACAATAAGGTTGCTGATGCGCTGTCACTAAGGGCAGACTATCTAGGAACACTGATAATCGAGTTTGGCCTATCGGAGGATGTAACTCCATCCTTGATTGAAGCCTACAAGGAAGACCCTGTCATGATGGACATCATACGCAAGCTTGAGACCCAAGATAAGGCCACATTTGGCGAGTTTGTGATGGTGGATGGGCTGCTCTTTCTTGAAAAGGCAAGGTTAAAAAGACTGTGTATACCGTCTAGTGAGTCTTTTCGTAGTTTATTTTTAGGTGAGTGTCATGATGCGGCATGACATTTCGGTTATAAAAAGGTTAGTGGTAACTTAGTGCAGCGTTCCTGGTGGCCTAGACTTATCAAGTCTGTCAGCGGGATAAACCGCAAACTCAAGCACCGCTTGGGTTACTCAAATCCTTGCCCATTGCAACAGATCCGGACATAGCGTTTCCCTGGACTTCATGGACACTCTTATGACCCGGAAGAGTGGCAAGAGGCACATTTTCATCATAGTGGACGGGTTTACCGAAAACGCTAGTCTAATCGCCATGCCTAAGATTGCAAAGACTGAGCACGTCATTAAGTTATTTATGGATAACTGGGTGCGAGATTTTGGACTGCCCAAGTCTGTAGTTAGCAAGAGAGATGTCCATTTCACAAGCGAAATGTGGAAGAAGGCCACTGAACAAATGGGTAGCCAACTCTAAATGACCTCGGGGAATCACCCCGAAGCCAACGGCCAAGCAGAACAGATGAACCGCGAGGTACAACACCTGTTGAGGCACTATATTAAGCCCAACTTGGATGATTGGGATGAAAAGTTGCCTCTCATCACCAACCTATACAACAATGTAGTACACAGTGCCACAAACGTCAGTCCGAATGAGCTGCATTTCGGGTGGAAGCCTAGATCTACAGTAGACTTCCTCCTTCTTGAAAACTACCCCGTTTCGACTCCTGGGACCATAGAATTCGGTGTCCAGTATGAAAAGTTGTTGCAGTAGGATGTCGAGCACATTAGGAAATCTCAGGAGGTTATGATTGCCGCTGAGAACAAACACAAACGACTGCCCACATTTCAGGTTGGGGAACGTTGTCGGGACCTTTGGATCCCGAATAACAAACCGACACTTGAGAACCGGTATATAGCCAAGTTGTGCGCGATAGAGAAATCCGGAGGAAGGAGACAAGAGAGAGAGAAAAGACAAAGGACTAGGACGGGGCAGACAACGTCAAAGAGCCGGAAGGAAGGTCGAGGCCAAGGGGGCCTTGACAACCAAGAAACGGACCGGAAGGTCGCGGCTAGCACAAACACCGCGAAAAATTAGTAAAAACGGCCCCTTTTTGGAAAAGGGAGGCCGTCAGAAAAGCAAAAATAACTAGACACGAAGTGCCATAGAAAGGAGGAAGCTCACGACGCCAAGGGAAATAGCACCATGGTGACCGCCGTGTGAGGACCTAGCACAAAGCCCGGGAAGGCCATCCCAATTGTGGCATAGGGAAAACCTAAACAACTATAGACCAAGCAAGAAGGATGTGAAGGATTAGTAGAGACCGTCCGATAAGATTGCCCAAAGTTTGGGCAATCTAGAAAAAAATAAAGCGACTTTGGAAACCAAGCGGAAAAAGACCGCCAAAGAACCGAGAAGAGACGGGCCACAACCGGGCGTCAAGGCCTTACGAGAAGGGGACCTTGACGACCAGAGAGCACTAAGAGAAAGAAGGCACAAAGTGTCGGGGACCACCGGTGGAACAACGTATCGGGGACCACCGACAGGATAAGTGTCGGGGACCACCGGCGGGACAAGTGTCGGCGGGACCACCGGCGGGGCCGACAGTGGGACAAGTGCGGGACAAGAGGCGAGGACAAGAGGCGGGGACAAGAGAAGGTCTTAAGAAGGACTGTGGAGCGACATGAGGGAAAAATAATTAAAACAAGGTGTACCGTCAATATCATATTAGCACCACTAGTGCAAGCACTAGTGGGAGCAAACGGAAAGACAAAAGGGGAAAAAAAAAAGTAAAGAAACGTGAAGGGGGAGGCATGGGAGCAATCCGAAAAATCTCTAATTAACCTCCCTCAAGAAAATGCAGTCAAAAGAGGCTCTATGTGAAAAATAGGCTCCCGGGAGAAGGGCCACTGTGTGAGAAACATTGAAGTAAAAAGAGGCTCCCATGGGCACGAGGGAGCCACAGTTGCAGTCTGAGATATAACGGAATACACCTTAGGGATAGGAAGGGCCAAAACTACGAGGCACGGCCTAGAAAAGGCCTTAACGGCTAGTTGACACTTGACATATCAGAAAAAGAGAGAAAAAGAAAATAAAAAGGAGAGAAAAAGGGATCGAGTGAGTTGGCCGTCAGTAGGGACTGGCACAAGTAGGGACTGGCAGGTCCCTACTGTTCATAAATGGAGGGAAAACAAAAGAAAAGAGAAAAGGACACTAACGACAAAAAACCATGGCAACCGGCCGGACGTTTGAACTGGGATCCAGACAGACCGACTGTCTGGGTCCGGGTCTGGGGTCCGGTACGGTAGGTTCGGAATGGACCCGTTTCTCGAAATTTTGAAAAAAAAAATTGGGGCTCCTAGGACGTTTTTGGGGTCCTAGGCTGCCCCCAAAAAATTCTTTCGGGATTTTTTGGCCATTGAAAGGCCTACCGGACAATGCTAGACTGTGTTGGATTCCCGTCGAGCTCGGACAGGGGAAGGGAAAAACACGGATTCGAGTTTTTGAATCCGCTATCCCTCCCGTCGAAGCCATTTCGCATGAGATGTGTTGCTGCTGCGCTGCCGCCGATCTTCTGTCGTCATCTTCGTCGCCCGCCGTCACTATCATCGTCTGTCGTTGCCGAGGAGATCATCGCCACCAAGGAGTTCCTGCCTGCCAAGGCTTCTTGCTGCGGAGGAGGTCGTCACCCGTTGCCAGGTCAGTGTGTGTGTGTGTGTGTGTGTGTGTGTGTGTGTATGTGTGTGTGTGTGTAAGTGTGTGTGTGTGTCTCCAAACCTTCCCCTCTCCCCCCATTGGGTAGCATTGTTCCTTGCTTGCATTACTTCGTGGAGGCTTGTGGCTTTCTTGCCTTGGAGGTCGAGGACGACAACAGTACAAGGTGGAGCGACGGGGTGGAAGGTGAAGACATGGGTGACTCTTCTCTCTTTCTCTCTCTCTCTCTCTCTCTCTCTCTTGAGTCGAATGTCTAAGTGAGAACATGGCAAGAGGCGGATGACGTCGAGGGAAAACGTGGAGGAAGAAGAGGGGGGGGGGGGATAGACATCGATTCGACAGCAGCAACCTTTTTTTTGTTCCCTATTTTTTTTGTTGGGACGGTCTTGTTTTGTTTTCTTGGAGGACTCAGGGTAACAAAGACGCTTGAGCACGTTGGGCGGGAGACCCATAAGGAGGCGGAGGAGGAATGGGGAGGAGGACGAGCAGTAGTGAACAAGAGTTGGGACAACGGGGAGGACAAGCAGTATGGAAGAGGAGTTGGTGCAACGAGGGGCAACGAGGAGGAGAAGCGATAGAAGAAGAGGACGAGATAACGGGGACGACAAGCAGTATCGAAGTGGAGTTGGTGCAAAGAGGGGCAACGAGGAGAACAAGTGATAGAAGAGGAGGACGAGACAACGGGAAGGACGAACGAGGTTGAAGATGATTCAGGCGATGAGGGGCAACGAGGAGGACGAGCGGTATAAGAGGACAAACCATATCGAAGAGGAGGACGAGGGGCAACGAGGAGGAGGACGAGGGGCAACGAGGAGGAGGACAAATGATATCGAGGAGGTGGAGGAGGAAACGGAGGAGGAGGGGAGGCGAATGAGATGTGTACCTTCATTGATTCAATGCATGAATGATTGCAGTCGTGTATAATTGTTTTTTCTTTTTTGGATGTCCTGCAGTCGCGTTTCGGTTTGTCAAAACTTTTTGCCATTTTTGCGGCGTCATGTTGCTGAATGATTGACTGATTGATTGATGGGTTGATTGATTGATTGATTGATTTTGATTGATTGATTGATTGAGGTGGTCGGCTATGGTGGATGGGTGTAGGTGATGGAGGTGGAAGAAGGGTTGGGGAGGTCGGCTATGGTGGATGGGTGTAGGTGACGGAGGTGGAAGAAGGGTCGGGGTGGTTGGCTATGGTGGATGGGTGTAGGGGATGGAGGTGGAAGAAGGGTTGAGGTGRCCGGCTATGGTGGACGGGTGTAGGTGATGGAGGAAGGAGAAGGGTTGAGGTGGTCGGCTATGGTGGATGGGTGTAGGTGATGGAGGTGGAAGAAGGGTTGGGGTGGTCGGCTATGGTGGATGGGTGTAGGTGATGGAGGGANCGGCTATGGTGGATGGGTGTAGGTGATGGAGGGAGGAGAAGGGTTGAGGTGGTTGGCTATGGTGGACGGGTGTAGGTGATGGAGGAAGGAGAGGGGTCGAGGTGGTCGGCTATGGTGGATGGGTGTAGGTGATGGAGGTGGAAGAAGGGTTAGGGGGGCTGGCTATGGTGGATGGGTGTAGGTGATGGAGGAAGAAGAAGGGTTGAGGTGGTCGGCTATGGTGGATGGGTGTAGGTGATTGAGGAAGAAGAAGGGTTGAGGTGGTCGGCTATGGTGGACGGGTCTAGGTGATGGAGGTGGAAGAAGGGTTGAGGTGGTCGGCTATGGTGGATGGGTGTAGGAGATGGAGGCGGAAGAGAGGGAAAGGGAGAGGAAGTGTGTTTGTGTTGTCCCTTGGACACCCGGTCATGAAGAGTAGTCGCGGTGAACGAGTGGCGGGGATGACGAACGGCGGGAGACGTGTGCAAGTGACCTTGGCCCCGCCTTGCCCCCTTACCCGTGCGTCTGGCTCATTGTCGGTCGTATCCCTTATGTCCCGGACCAAGACACAGTTCCACAGTACACAATCAGCTGTCAACATGCAGAGAACACACAGTTGTTGTGGATGCAGTTAATCGGAATGTGCAGAATATGCAGATTCCGCTAGTTACGGTAATTTACCGTCTTTGCTGTCTCTTTGCCCAGGGTGAAAATTCGGGGTGCTCAGTCCTGTATTACCTGCCGCAAACGTTATCAGACCGACACCAAATTTGGTGGGCCCCCTCACTGTATCATACGGAAGGCCTCCACAAAATTTGGCGTCGTTCTGACGTCGTTTGGGCCAAGTTGCCCGTTTCGGGCGTCCGCCGGCGAACAATTCGGAGGAAGTCCGATTTTTGATTTTTTCAGAAAACGGAGTCTGATGGCCTGTTGGGTCTGCAGGCC